CTTGCCGGATGCCTGGGTGGTGGATGAGGCCAAGGAGCTTCAAGCACAGCTGCCTGCAGCGCAGAATGTGCCAACTCGCTGGCACACAGTTGCTTGTATGGATTAAGTTAAAGTTGTTTTTGATTTGTTGCACATCATAGAAAGTAGCAGCGAAACAGATATAATTGATGCGCATGTGTTTTTGTGTGGTCTGCTGAGATGGTGCTTGTGGCCCATCAGCTGCTGGAGCAGTTCACCACGGCCGAGACTTCTGGGCAGGATACCACCTACTATGCCAACATCCTGGCAATGCCGTATATCGTTAACGGCTCGGCTCGCGGCTACCACTTGGCTGAACCGGAGGACTGGCGCGTGAAAGTTCAGTCTACTTGATAAACTTTAATATCATAATATATGTTGCCCCCCAAGCCTCCGCACACTTTTCTCGGAGTCAATGATGCCCCAAAGTGCGCAGGACAAGAACTGGGTTGGATGGGCCCTCCCCTTTTCCACCACCGATGGGCAGCTGATGCACGTGACGCCTTACGCCCGGGATTGTTTGCGCTATGTCAAGTTCCTGATGTCCACTAGTGGTTTGGGGGCTACTGCAGAGGCACCGCGATCCTTGGTGTCCATGCAGGGCTTGGCCAGACAGGCCCCACAGTCCTTGGAGGAGCGGAATCGGCAGCTTCTGAAAAATTAGTTTTTTGAGGCGGCCTTCCACAACGCCCGCGAGGTGCAGAACAGGGCGGGCTGCAGTTACCAGGCTGGGACCACCAGGGTATTGAGGAATGAGCAGATGAGCGTGGTCACCTCCCTGGATCCTGGGATCGGCAAGCTGATGGACGACGCAGGGGCTGCGCAACATTTTGGATCCTTTTATGTGGCGCCGGAAGGATTCTTCTACATGCTCAAGCCTACCCCTGTTGTCACGGCCAACAAGAAGTTCACAACGCCTGTGATCAAGTTCCAGGCACATCCTGCACCATCGGGTGTTGTGGAGTCGCCGTTTTTCAGCTAAATGAATTACTTTAAAGGATAATACGTATTATCCCAAAAGCGCATTGTCCCCGAAAGCATTGCGAAGGGTTCTTCCGGAAAATCCTTTGAACACTGACACTTCGACACTCACACTTACACACACACACTGGAAGAGCGAAAGCATCCAAGTGCGAAGTATGCCAGTGTCAAAGTATGCAAGTGTAAGTATGCAAGCATGATATGCAAGGGTGAGCATGCAAGCATGCAATGACTATGCAAGCATGCAATGAGTAGGCAAGTGTGAGTATGGAAAACTTGC